GAAGTGTACCTGGCGTATAAGACGACCCCCCACTTGGAGGCATATTTTTCAGGGCCAAAAAATCGTCTTATACGCCGGCAAATACGGTACTTTAAGTACTTCATGTAAGTGTATTATACTGTATGTCTTTTTTGGTTGGCTTAATTGACTTAGCATCATGTTTTCAAGGTTCATTCATGTTGTAGTATACAAGGTCTGACAATTAAGTTTGTGAACTTGTTGCAACAATGTTGCTAACCTTTTTTGGTATCAGAGGGGTCATTCATTATGAATTTGTACCAACTGGGCAAACAGTTAACCAAGTTTACTATTTGGAAATGCTGAAAAGGGCTGTGTGAAAAAGTTAGACAACCTGAACTTTTGGCAACAGTTCACGGTTCTTGCATCACGACAATGCACCAGCTCAAACCACACTGTCTGTGAGGGAGTTTTTAGCCAGTAAACAAATAACTGTATTGAGACACCCTCCCTACTCACCTGATCTGGCCCCCAATGACTTCTTTCTTTACCCGAAGATAAAGGAAATATTGAAAGGAAAACACTTGTATGACTTTCAGGACATCAAGGATAATATGACCACAGCTGTGCTAGCCATTGCAGAAAAATAGTTCCAAAATTACTTAAGGGTGGACTAGGTGCTGGCATCGGTGCGTAGCTTCCCAAGGGGAGTACTTCCAAGGTGACCATAGTGATATGAGGTATGTAGTAGCACTGTTTTCAGGATGAGTTTGTGAACTTGTCAGACCTCGTATATCAGAATTCTTTTTTAATGCTGAATAATATTCCATTTTAACCATATACGGTATATACACTTTTTCCTTATCCATTTACTATCTGTGGACACTTGGGTTCTTCTATGCTTTAGTTATTGTGAATAATGCTGCTTTGAACATGGGTGTACAAATATCCCTTTGAGACACTGCTTTCAATTTTTTGTGTGTATGTACCCAGAAGTGGAATTGATGGATAATGTGGTAATTGTATCTTTTAAATTTTTTGTGGAGTCGCCATACTGTTTTCCACAGGGACTGGTACCATTTTGTATTCCCACCAACAGTGTATAAAGGTTCCAATTCTTTCACATCCTTGCCAGCATTTATTATTTTATGGTTTTTTTTTATAATAGCATCTTAATGGGGATGAAATGATATGTAGTTTTGATTTGCATTTCCCTAAAGATTAGTATTTGAGCATCTTTTTATGTGCTTATTGGCTATTTCTGTATTTTCTTTGGAGACATGTCTGTTCAAGTCTTTTGCCCATATATTGAGTTGTCAGAAAAGTCATGATGCATTTTTGCAACGAAAAACAGAAGATATGCTTCATGACTTTTTCAACAACCCAATATTAATCATTTTTTTGGGGGGGAGTGAGGGGTGTCAGAGTTTTTATGTATTCTGGTTGTTGATCTCTTATTAGATTTATGATTTGAAAAATTTCTCCCATCCTGTTGGTAGCATCTTTACTCTGTTGATAGTATCTTGGGATACACAACATTTTAAAATTTTTTTGGAGTTCAGTTTGCTTGCTTTTCTTTTGTTGCCTGGGCCTTTGGTGTTATATATGAAAAAAATCATCGCCGAATCGTGTCATGCAGCTTTTGCCCAATGTTTTCTTATAGCAGTTTTATAGTTTTAGGTCTTAATTTAAATCTTTGATCCATTCGAGTTAATTTTTGTCTATGTTGTTAGATAAGGGTCCAACTTTGTTCTCTTGCCTGTAAATATCTGGATATTCAGTTTTCCTGCATTGTTTGTTAAAAATACTGTTCTTTCAAATTGAATAGTCTTGGCGCCCTTAAAATTTTTTTGATTTTATATGTGAGGGTTAATTTCTGGGCTCTCTATTCTTCATTCATCGATGTGTTTGTCTTGATGCTAGTACCACACTATTTTGATTACTGTAGCTTTGTCCTAAGTTTTGCAGTCAAGAAGTGTGATTCTTCCAGCTTTGTTTTTTCTTTTCAAGATTGTTTTGGGATCACTGCATAAATTATATAAATGTTTAACCACTATGTGTACACCCAAAACTAATATAAAATGATGCTGAATGTCAACTGTAACTGAAAAAAAAGAAATAATAATAAAAAAAAGATTGTTTTATTTGAGAGTCACTTGAGATTTCATATGAATTTTAGGATGGATTTTTCATTTATTTTTGCAAAAAAATGTCATTGGTATTTTGATAGGGATTGCTTTGAATTTATAGATTGCTTTGGGCAGTATTGACATGTTAACAATATTAAACCTTCCAATCTATGGACATGGGATGTGTTTCCATTTATGTCTTTTAAAATTTCTTTCGGCAGGGTATTGGGATTTTCATTACGTAAGTCTTTCACCACCTTGTTTATGTTACTTCCTAAGTATTTTATTCTTTTTGATATATTATAAAGGGACTTCTTTTTATAATTTCCTTTTAGATTTTCCATTGTTTGGAAATAAACATGCCACTAATTTTTGGTGTTGACTTTGTACCCTGCTACTTTGCTGAATTAGCTTATTAGTTCTAACAGGTTTTTTTTTTGTTTTTGTTTTTTTGATATAGGGTTTTCTTTATATAAGATCAGGTTGTTTATGAACAGGGATAATTTTTTTTCTCCGCAATTTGGATGCCTCATATTTATTTTTTCTTGCGTAATTACTCTGGCTAGACCTTCAGTATTGTGTTGAGTAAAAGTGGCAAAAGTGGACATCCTTACCTTCTTCCTGATGTTAGAGGTAAAGCTTTCAGACTTTCAACGTTGAGTATGATGTTTCCTGTGGGTTTTTCACATGTGACCTTTATTATTTTAAGGCACCGTATTTCCCCATGTATAAGACGCTCCCATGTATAAGACACACCTTAATTTTGGGGCCTGAAATTTGAAAAAATGTATTACATAAAGTTATTGAACTCAAGTTTTAGTCATCATAAAATTCTACGACCACTGTATGTGTATTCAGATTTTCTACTTCTTTGTGATTTTGTTTTGGTAGGTTTTGTTTCGCTAGAATTTGTCCATTTCCCATCTGGTTATCCCAATTTGTTAGTGTACAATTGTTTATATTACTATTTTATAATCTTTTTTTACTTTTGTAGAATCAGTGTTAATGTTCCCACTCTCATTTGTGACTTTTGTAATTTCAGTTTTATCTCTCTTTTCTTAGTCCGTCTAGCTATTTTTCAATTTTGTTGACCTTTTCAGAAAACCAACTTTTGGTTTCATTGATTTTCTCTATTTTTTATTTAGTTTATCTCCGTTCTGATTTTTATTTCTGTTCTTCCCTCTAGCTTTGGGCTTATTTCTTCTTTTTCTAGTTGTTTATGTTGTAAGGTTAGGTTGTTTTGAGATCTTTCTTGTTTTTATAGCTATAAATTTTCCTGAATACTCCTTTCGTTGTGTTTGGTTTGTGGTGTTTTTGTCTGTATTAATTTTTAAGTATTTTCCAATTTCCCTTCTGATTTTTAAAAAAAATTATTAGTTAAGAATATTTTGTGAATATTTCAGTTTTACTTTTGTTGATTTCTAAACTTCATGCTGATGTGACCAGAAAACATACTTTGCGTGATACCAGTCATTTCAAATGTATTAACTTCATTTGTGTCCTAACATGTGGTATATCCTGGAAAATGTCCCATGTATGCATATACTTGAGAAGAATGAGTATCCTGTTGTTGGATATATGTGTGTTATAGCCAGTTGATTTATTGTGTTGTTTAAGTCCTTTTTTTTTTTTTTTTTTTTTTTTTTTGTTTTTTTGTTTTTTTTTTGTTTTTGATTTATTGTGTTGTTTAAGTCCTTTTTTTTTTTTTTTTTTCTATCTTTTGTCTGGTTGTTTTGTCCATTGTTGAGAATGGGATATTGAAGTCTCCAAGCATTTTAGAGCTGTTTTCTCTCTTCAATTCTGTCTGTTTTTGCTTTGCATAGTTTTTCTAATTTGTCATTAGGTGCATAATTGTTTATAACTGTTATATTTTATTGCTGTTTTGAAACTTTTATTAATGTATAATGTTCTTTTTTTTTCTTGTTACCTTCTTTGATTTATAGTTTATCTTGTCTGATTATGCTATAGCTACTCCTGATATCGTTTACTGTTTGCATGAGTATCATTTCCAATCCCTTCACTTGCAATCTTTGTGTCTTTGGATAAAAAATGAGTCATGTAGTTATATCATGTAGTTTTATCCATTCCATCAATCTCTGTGTTTTGACTGGAGTGTTTAATGTATTTACATTTAAAATAATTATGAATAAGGAGAGACCTCTGTCAGTTTGCTATTTGTTTGCCATATGCCTCATAACTTTCTTTGTCCATCATTTACTGCATTACTGTCTTTAGTTAATGTTTACAGTGAAATATTTAAATTCCATTCTCATTTCTTTTTGTGTATATTCTATAGCTTTTTTGTGGTTATCTTGGGAATTATATTTAATATCCTAAAGTTATAACACTCTAATTTGAAGTTATGTCAGCTTAACTTCAGTAACACACAAAAACACTGTTCCTTTGCCTCTCTGTCCCCACCCCTTTTCGGTGCCGATATCACAGAATTACATCTTTATATATTGTGTTGCTAAAAACTAATAATTCTTTTAAATACATTAATCTCTCATATAGAAAACAACATGGAGTTACAAACATTGTTATAGTAATAGTAGTAGCTTTTATAATTGCCCATGTATTGTCTTTTGTTGGGACCTTTACTTTTTCATGTGGTTTCTAGTTACTGTGTATTGTCCTCTTATTTCATCCTGCAGGATTTCCTTGATCATTTGTTTTTGGGCAGGTGTAGTAGTAACAAACTTCAGCTTTTATCTTGGAATGTCTTTATTTCTCGCTTACTTTTGAAGGACAGTTTTGCTGGTGTAGAATTCTTGGTTTAAAATTATTTTTCTTTTAGCACTTTGAATATTTTTACCCATTGCCTTTCAGCTGTCAATGTTTCTGATGAGAAATTTGCTTATAATCTTATTAAGGATCCTTTGTATGTGATGAGTTTCTCTCTTCCTTTCAAGATTTTCTGTTTCTCTTTTTGACTTTTGAACATTTGATTATAATGTGTATTGATATGGGACTCTTTGAGTGCTACTTATATAGACTTTTTTGAGCTTCTTGGATGTATATTATGTCTTCAAATTTGGGAAGTTTTCAGCTATTATTTATTCAAATATCCTTTTTGCCCTTTTCTCTTTTCTCTTACTGGGACTCCCACGGTACATATATTGGTTCACTTAGTGATGCCCCTCTGGTCCCTTATGCTTTGTTTCTTTTCTTATTTTTTTATTTCTGTTCCTCAGACTTGGTAATTTGCATTATTCTATCTTCAAGTTCATTGATTCTTCTGCCTGTTGAAATCTGCCTTTGAATCCCTCTGGTGAATTTTTTTTTTTTTGGTTACAGTAATTTCCTGCTTCAGAATTTCTGTTTAGTTTCTTTTTAGGTTTTTTGTCTCTATAGATACTTGCACTTTATTTATACATTGTTTTCTTGACTTTCTCTATATTTCCCTTTCATTTTTTGAGTCTCTATATGATAGTTCTTTTAAAGTCTGTCTAGTACAGGGTTCGGCAAACTGCCGCTCGTGAGCCACATGCAGCTCTTTGGGTACGTACATGTGGCTCTGAAGTAAAATTGAAAATGAAAATAAAACTATCATAGTTTCATTTATAAAATTTTTAAAGGATATTATTTACAAAATGGTGATTTCATTTGTTTTATGGCTCTCGAATAATTTTTAAATTGTTGTGAGGAACAGGATTGGTTCTTCTGTCTCAAAAGTTTGCTGACCCCTGGTCTAGTAGATCTGTTAGCAGGTCTTTTTTCTGGTATAGTTTTTGTTGATTTTTTTTTTCCTTTGAATGAAGGTGTTTTGGGAATAAAAAAAAGTAGCAGATCCTACTGAGATATCAGTTATATTGAAGATTAGGAAATGATCATTTATGACATTGGTCACCTTAGAAATAGCTATTTTGATTGAGTGATGATTGCAAAGAAGGAGCTTCTATTTCTTCCAAAGTTGGAGGCAATGTTATCTGCTAATAGTAAAGAGAGCAGTGGAAGGGTGGCTGGAACTTTGACGAGAATCAAAAAAGTTTGAAATAGTCGTTCTAGAGAGTGTGAACAAATTGACTGAAGAAATATAGTAAGGTTGCTGGTTGGTGGAAGTTGGTGATGACTAATTTACAGTAATTTTAATCTGTCCTGTTGTGATTTTTCTTGTCTACCTGGCAAGACATAAGCATGTTTATGTAAAAAGTAGTCGGTTTTATTCAGGGTTGGAATTTTATTGACAGGAAAATGAGAAAAAAGAACAGAGTTTAAAGTGTTGCTGAAATAGTATATTAATGGAATCTGAGTTGGATACGGAAATCAGGAGGAAGCTAATGGATAGGGAAAGAAAGATTTAGCACTTAATTGAATGAACGAACAAATTTATGGAGCAAAGGATTTTTTTTTTTTTTTTTTTTAGCTGAGCCATCCTGCCACCTGTTGGCAGCTCAGCGGCTGCTCAGCTCGGGCTGACTCGAACCGCTGTTGCTCAGAGCTCAAACTCTTGAGCGAGCTCTTAACCAACTGAGCCACTCAGCCGGCCCTTGGAGCAAAGGATTTTATTAGGTAGTGGTGAGATTCAAAGATTAAAAACCTCTGTCTTCAAAGAGCTTATATATACCGTCTCATTAATTCTAAAGTCCTTTTATATTCAAATATATTCACTTACCTCTTATTCACTTAACTTGCCTTTGATGTACATATATCTTTATCACCTTTCCTTAATCTACCGCTTCCTGGGCTAACTGAATTAAGGAGTAATAGGTCATTAGAGGAAAAGATAGGTCATATGTATGTGCAGGTGGAACAGGATTAGAAGGAGGAAAGTAGATATCTTTCATTGGCATTTTCAAGTTGGGGACGGGGAGGCACAGTAACTAATGCATATTAAAAAAGAAATTAGGAACCTCAGTTCTTTATTCTTTCTGTTCCCCTGAAGCGTATTGAAACTGGAGATAGTAAATACAGGTTTTAGAAAAAGAAATGATGTACTTCCTTCATCCTTGATTGAAAGGAGAAAGGGAGAGGATCTTCTGTCTTCCTATTTTGCATTCATTAGAGGCAGGGTCATATTCAACTATTTATACATCTAACCACAGACAACTTATGATGCTATCACTAATTTTAAGGGCAATTCCTTCTTTGCTTCTCTGATTTTTCTCATTTAAGCCTATTATAATTTTTACCTAATAACCTTCATTAGGTAAAAATGTACTCGGGGATAGTTAAAACAGAGGGAAGTTATAAAATTTAATGCCAATAAATTCTACAAGGTTGGCTTTAGTTGCACTGAACAAGAATTAGTTTTTGAAAACTATTTAGTTTCCTTTAAAAATGTTTTAGTATGGAAGCTTTTGGAAAGCGAATCTACAAACAGATTTTTTTCTTTAACAAGGTAACATTTATGTTATCTCACTATGTGGGTGTTTATAGAGTATGTTTTTCATTCAAACTAAAAAAGAAATACTTGCAATTGTAGAAAACCGTCTGGTGGAGAAACAGGACACTTTTACAGAAAAATTGATTACTCAGATCATAAAAAACCTTCAAGTGAAAATTTCTAACATCCATATTCGTTATGAAGATGATGTAAGTATTTTAATAGATGATACTTGTTTTTATATTTGTGTATATTTTACTGTTTATTGACATCTGCTTTGTAGTAGTCATCCTACTAGATGTTGGGGAGTAGAGGATACAGAGCTGAAGATAACATGATCTTTCTTTCCTATAATTATAGTTGTAATTTCCAGTCCTTACTGTCTTGATTACACTTTCCTAAAATGTTCAAACATCAGATAATGAAGGAAAATGTCTTATAATCACCTTTGATAGTTGAGCGTTATAAATTTAGCTATGTGGTTTTAAAATACTTTAAATTATACAATATTTATCTCCTGGAGAGAGCACTGGTCTAGGAATCAGTAGAGCTAGACTTAACTAATTGATGTCAAATAGATCATGTATTCCCTTTAAAACACATAATAATTATAATACCTTCTCATACCACTATTGTGAGAGTCAGCCATTTTAAGCTTTTTTTTTTGTAAAGTAAAAAATACTATGCAGATATATTGTACAACATTAACACATTGATACTTAATATTTTAATTAATACTGTATTAGGAAAAATATAGAAATAAAAATTCTGCAAAGTATTAAAGTGATTTTTGAATGTTTGAAATTACAAACTAATCAGAAAGTGAACTTTTTCTATAATGTGAATTTGGTTCAACTACTAAAAATCTGAGTAAAATTTACTATCTTTCCTCTTTAGATCACAAATCGAGAAAACCCACTGTCATTTGGTATTTCTCTTCAGAATCTCAGCATGCAGGTACTGTGTTCAAAAAGAAATTTAACCATATTTAATTATGCAGCATAGTTAATCAAACTACTAAATACTATTCATTTATGCCAGCATCAGAAATAAGTGCCTATATAGACTGAATTGGAGCTGAGGGTAGGTAGTTTCACATTTCCAAAAATGATCGATAATCAAATTCAGATTAAAATATTTTCTGATTATGACATTTGATACCTTTTTAAATGTAATCTATTTCTGAGTTTTAAATAAGTACAAAATAAAAGTTCATTGTTCACTGAAGAAATTTTGATAACTTATAAAAAAAGTGAAGAAACTAATCACCAACATTGTTAATACTGTGGCATATTTTCCCCTGTGTAATTTTTCAAATAGAGGAAGTTTACAAGTATAGGAGCACATAGAGGATTATGGAGGTTTTGCTTTCATCCAGAATGAACCATTGATAAATTTGTCATTTGGTTTAAGTTTTGAATCCTTTTATAGAATAAACTGTTACAAGTAAAGTTTAAATCCCTTTTTTCTCTACTCCTGCCCTTGCCGCAACAGAGACAAACATCCTAAGTTTTTAAACTTTTATGTAATATAGCCATTAAAATTGTATAGTGTTTGGTAGAATTTAAAGTTACAGAAATATTTTATTGATTGTTCTATTAAGTTTCCTTTTCTCTTCACAGTGTTTTTTGACATTTTTATTGCCACATATAATTCATCCAGTTTAACTGCTGTATAATATTTCGCTATATGCTTTTATTTGTTATATTCATTGGGTTTTTGTGTATGACTTGTTTTTTAAAACATGGATCCATTACCAGCAAAAGAAAAGCCAAAGGAAAAGCCAAATGAAAAGTTAATAAAATTGAGTAGGGTAAACTGTCAAATGCTGTTAGTTTGAAAAATAAGGATGAAGAATTAGCTATTAGATTTGGCATTGTGAAGGTCATTAGTGACTGTGACAGTAGTGGTTTTGACCATCACCTTTGAAAATTCTTGGAAACTTGTCATCCATCCTAGACCTGTTGAATTAGAAACTCATGTTGGGGCCCAGCAATCCACGTTTAAAAAGCCCTCTGTGATCCTGTTACATACTAAAGTTTGAGAACTACTATTCTAATCTATTCAGATCTCTACAAAAAATGAAAACCATCTCTTTAAAATAATCATCTGATCGCTTTATTCCCCTCAGTGGCTTTTCATTGCTGTTAAAATAAAGTCCATAGTTTTGTCTTGCAATAGTTTATAATCCTTTTGTAATCTTACCCCAGATTACAAGTGGTTTCACCTCTTTAGTTTGTTTTTCATTATTTTCTCTGGCCATTCTGGGCTACTGCAGTTCCCTGAATGTGTCATATATTTGCATATTTTCCTAACTCTGAATCATATTTCCTATTGCCCTTAGAATCAGTAAAATTTCTATACATATAATATTCATATGCCATATATTAGGTCAGATGTCATTTTCTCCACCACGCCTCTGAGTTGGGGGCTCCTTCCATGTCCTCCCAGAGTACTGTATATTTAACCTCTATAGTGGCACTTCCCTGTTTGTAATCGCTTGTTTACTTGTTTGCTTTTTCAACCAAACGATGAGCTCCTCTGAAGCAGAGACTTTCCTGTGGTCAGTTAATATTCTTTGAATGTTATGTTTTCAAGGACATTTTCATAGGAAATTGGTCTAGGGCATGATAGGTATGATTTGTTACTCTGCCATTTCACATGTAAATGACAGTTTTACTGCCTTTTTTTCCTTTTCAGACAACTGATCAAAACTGGGTTCCATGTTTACATGATGAAACTGAGAAACTATTTCGTAAGGTAAAATAAACACATTATATTGTGTTAACCCATAGACCTGACAAAAGACTTTTAGAAAGGCAAATGGTAATATATTGTATGGATTTATGTGAATTGTGTTTACTTGCTTAACTCTGTTATATGACTCAATTATTTGAGATTCTGAAAATAGCATGTTAAAGATCCTTCAGAAGAAAACGAGACACATAATAAGTTTTTTTTTATTTTCAGTTAATCCGATTGGATAACCTTTTTGCCTATTGGAACGTGAAGTCTCAGATGTTTTATTTTAATAATTATGATGACTCATTGGTAAGTAAATTTTTTATATGTGTATATACATTTTTTGGTATCATATTTTGCATAAAGTTTTATTCATTGTCATTTACCTAATATACTATAGTCAGTGATCTTATACAGGCAAACTCCATTAGCAGAATTTACAGAAATATATGAATATATATGTGCCTGTAACACAAACATGTATAAACACATGCACCTTTTTTTGATTATATAATTGATATACAACATTATGTTTCAGGTGTACAACATAATTGATATTTGTATGTATTGCAAAATGATAACCACAATAATTCTAGTTAACATCTGTCACCATATATAGTTACAAAAATTTTGTTTTCATGAGATGAAAACTTTTAAGATTTATTCCCTTAGCAACTTTCAAATATGCAATACAGTATTATTAACTATAGTCACCATACTGTGCCTTAAATTCCTGTGACTTATTTATTTTATAACTAGAAGATCGTACGTTTTGACTGCCATCACTCATTTTGCCACCACCCATGCTGTGCCTATGGCAACCACCAACCACTTCTCTGTATGAGCTTGGGGTTTTTTGGATGGGGCTTGTGTTTTTGTTTTTGTTTTTATATTCAACATATAAGGGAGAGTAAACAACATTTGTCTTTTTCTGACTTATTTAATGTACTGCCCTCAAGTTCTATCCGTGTTGTCTCACATGGCAAGATTTCCCTCTTTTTTATGGCTGAATGATATTCCATTTCATATATATACCACATTTTCTTTTTTTTTTAAAGATTTTTATTGGGGGAATTGGGGGGATGGGAACAGTGCTGGGGAATTGGGGAAAGGGGAACAGACAAGTTGCTGTCGTTTTGTTCTTCAATCTAGTTGTGGAGGACGTTGCTTCACTGGCCCAAGTTGGCACCATCATTGCGCTCTTCCCGGGTGAGGCAGATCAGTCGCCGGCTTCTGGACGGCCGCTCACTGCGGCTGCTGGCCGCTCACGCTGGCTGCTGGCCGCTCACGGTAGCCCATGGCAATCCACTGCCACAGGGACTGCAGCCCACGCCGTCGCCGGCGACTCATGAAGCCCAGCTCCAGGTTGAGCTGTTGTTCAGCATCTTAGCTGTGGAGGGCAGTGTCACTGGCCCTCATATGTGGGATCCGAACCGGGGCCCTCTGGCATCCCAAGCGAGTTCTTAACCATCGCGCCACTCGGCCGGACCAATACCACATTTTCTTTATCCATTCATCTGTTGATGGACATTTAGATTGGTTCCATATCTTGTCTATTGTACATAATGCTTGGTGAACATAGGGGTGCATATATGTTTTGGAGTTAGTGTTTTTGTTTTATTTGAATAAATAACCAAATGTAGAGTTGCTGGATCACATAGTGGTTCTATTTGTGAGTTTTTGAGGAACTTTTTTACTGCATTCCATAGTAGCTGCACCAATTTACATTCCCACCAGTATTGCACAAGTGTTCCCTTTTCTCTACACCCTCTCAAAAACTTATTATCTTTTTGATAATATTCTAACAGGTATGAGGTGACACCTTATTGTGGTTTTGATTAGCATTTCCCTGATGATTAGTGATACTGAGCATTTAAAAAAATTTTTTTTCGTGTACCTGTGGTTATATGTATGTCACTTTTGGAAAAAATGTTTATTTAAATCCTCTGCCCATTTTTTAATCAGGTTGATTTTTTGTTATTGACTTGTGAGCTCTTTATGTATTTTGGATATTAACCACTAATCAGATATATGAAGAGCAGCTATTTTCTCCCATTCATTAGGTTGCCTTCTTTGTTGTTATTGATGGTTTCCTTTGCTCTGCAGAGGCTTTGAAGTTTGATGCGGTCTCCCTTATTTTTTTTTCTTTTGTTGCCTTTACTTTTGGTGTCAGATCCAAAGAATCATCACCGAGACCAATGTCATAGAGCTGACCATGTATGTGTTTGTTTAGGAGTTTTATAGTTTCACTTCTTTCATTCAAATCTTTAACCCATTTTGAGTTAATTTTTGTTTATGGTGTAAGATAGTGGTACAGTTTCATTCTTTTGCATGTGTTTGTCCAGTTTTCCCAGCACCATTTATTGAAGAGACTGTTCTTTACCCATTGCATATTCTTGGCTTCTTTGTCATAAATTGATTGACCATAATTGCATGAGCTTATTTCTGGTCTCTCTTTTCTGTTCCACTAATTGATGTATGTATCTTTTTATTTTAGTAGCATACTGTTTTAATTACTACAGCTTTATAATAGAGTTTGAAATCAGTGACTGTGATGCCTTGAGCTTTGTTTTCTTGCTCAAGATTGCTTTGGTTATTGGGGTCTTTTGTGATTCCATGCAAATTTTAGGATTGTTTGCTCTCTTTATGTGAAAAATGTCATTGGAAATTTGATAAGAATTGCATTGAATCTGTAGATTGCTTTGGGTAATGTGGATATTTTAACAATATTAATTCTTTCAATTCATGAATGTAGAAGGTCTTCCTATTTATTTGTGTCTTCAGTTTCTTTCATCAGTGTCGTATAATTTTAAGTGTACATGTCTTTCACCTCCTTGGTTAAATTTATTCCTAGGTATTCTTTTTGATGCAGCAATAAATACGATTGTTTTGTGCATTTTGCTTTCTAATAGTTTCTTATTAGTGTACAGAAAATACAACATTTCTGCATATTGACTTTCTATCCTGCAACTTTACTGAATTTGTTTATTCTAACAGTTTTGTTTTTTAATTTGGTGGAGTCGTTAGGGTTTTGTATATACTATAATATGTCATCTGTAAATAGTGACAGTTTTACTTCTTCCTTTCCAATTTGGATGGCTTTTTTTTTTCTTGCCTAATTGTTCTAGGTAGGACTTCCAGTAGTATGTTGAATAAAAGTAGTGAGAGTGAGTATCCTTGTCTTATTCCTGATCTTAGAGGAAAAGCTTTCAACTTTTCTCTGTTGAGTATAATGTTAGCTGTGGGTTTGTCGTTTATGACTTTACTGTGTTGAGGTACATCCCTTTTATACTCATTTTGGTATAGTTTTAAATCATAAATGGATATTGAATTTTGTCAAATTTTATATATATGCCTATATATAAACATGTTTAAATACACACACATATATATATATATATATATACATATATATATATCTTAATATTGCCTAAAGTATTCTTTTATAATAGTAGTTTAATGAGACATTGTTTAACCACTTTAATATTTTTTTGTACGTAAGACTTAAATTTGAATTATTTTTTAAATTGCTTCTAAACTATTTTATTTTGAATATAATTGGGTTTTGTCAGATATAGGTATATTGGAATTAATGTAAATAAAAGCAATTTGTCTTTTAATAGAACAAATTGAAGAGTGGCATTGTCAATGAAAATATTGTTCCAGAAGGTTATGATTTTGGTAAGTACATTTCATTCAATAAAAATTGCAATTAAAGTAATAAAGTTCATATGAACAATGTTGACTTCACTAATATTTCATGTTAATTTTCTCACATAATCAAATGTATTTATATGTACACAAAAGCAAAACATTATCATTTATGGTTGTGGAGCTTTTGGCTATATTTCAAAGCTAGGAAAGAAAAATGTCCAGTAAAAGGCTAATAAATTGTGAAGTCACTAATGACTATTCAATAACAATTATAATATTTAAAGATATTTTGACATGGCAAATACAATTTAATAAGGCTTGCTGCTACAGTCTGTAGCGTGATCTTACTATTTTAAAAATGTATATTTAAAACTTTTCTTTATACTTTTTTCTGGCTTCAGATTTTCTGAAATTAACATTGAGTAATTTAATAATCAGAAATGCATTACTACAATAAAATATACAGAGAAAAAGAGTGGATATGACTTTCCCTTGTTCTAAACTAAAGGAATGTTGTGGTGATTGCCCAGCAACATTAAAGACCTATTTGAGATTTATGACATTAAAGTGAGACCAATCTGGAGTTGTATATATTTTTTCCCCAGCCATGTTCAGCTGCTTAGGTACAGGTGTGGGGTAAATGAAGAGTAGCTTTATCCAGAGTTAGGGTTTTGCCTAGTAAGTACCATCAAAGTGCACGGGCAAAGGAGTTAAGGGTGAATGCAAGGGAATGACTGAAATAACTGATAATGGAATTTCAACAGCATAGGGAGGGAACTGAGAACATGAAGCAGAGGTGAAGGACAGAGAAAAGGTAGAGATAGGATCAATGAGTGGTAGGTCCCAAGGGACTTGAAGTTTTGGTATATTAAATACCAGAGAGATAGGTCATGGTGGTAGGAGAGTTGGATGCTTGAGACCAAGTTTATGGAAGGTCAAGGATATCTGTATGGTAAGGTCTAGTAGATGAGGTAAGGGTGGAGGAGTCCAAGGAACTGGTTTTGGAAAAATCGTTTTGTATGTTGAAATCACTTAGAAATTAGAGTTGTCAGGGGCCGGCCGAGTGGCG